AACTGCTAAGTTCGAATGATATTTAGCTAACTCACTTCTCTCTTATTCTTTTATAAAATTATTTAACATTTTAGCCTAATAGAAGGAAAATGAACAAAGATATTTTTCTGTAGCAACTATGACAAGAAATATCCTTACTATTCTAGTAACTTCTGTAGCTTTTGAATTAGTAAGTAAATCTCTGTTAAATATTAATTAATTATAGTTAACATATATTATATTATTTAAATTTTTAGTGCAACAGAAAGAATTGTTAATGATTATCAGTCAAGCCTTAATCCTGAAACTATTGAAATGTTAATTTGTAGTCAAGATTGGTTAAAAAATATAAAAAAATAAGGCTAGAAATACTAGAAAGTTATATATATTAAGAACTAATATTTTTTTTTTATTTGAAACAATTAAACTAATCTTTGCTTCTAACTTTTCAGATATTTGAATTAATAGTATGATATAAATTTATCAAACAAAGAACTCAAAAACCATAATCTAATAAAATTGATGATATCGCAGTTACAAAAAATAAACTTGTGGCATTTAAATATTGTCAAAATGCAGTAATACTTATCAGTCTTTTGGTTATATCTGATGAACTACTCCTTAATGAATTAATTGAAAGAAAAGTCAGTTATAGTTTAGAAGTTTCAAGTTTGCTATTGTTATCATTATTATAAAATTAGTGCTAGCATAATTATTTAAGTTTCAGATTGGTCATATTAGTTAAATCAAATAGAAATGCAAAGAATTTGTATAAAAAAATTTTTTTTTGATTTTATTAACTTAAAAATTTTTTTTGAGTAATATATAATCTTTTAAATTTTTACATATTAAATCTTTAGATTGTTATTATTATTTTTTAATTTACATTGATATTTTTCAGCTTATAATACAATATTAAAGAACAAATCTTGAATTTAACTAGTTAACTATTATAATATATTAATTTTAATTGATTATAGATTCTGATTATTTTACATTTCATAATAAAAAAAAAAATTGATAATAAGTTTACTATCTTTCACTAAAACTTAATTAAATTTAGTAGTCATCAATATATAATAATACATTCTTAATTTAAAAAATAATATAGATGTTAAATTAAAAAATAATCAAATCTAAATAATTATTGATTTCAATATTATGGTATTTTAACATTTTAATCTTTGTAAATATAATTTTAAGCATTCTTAATCCTTTACTAGGCTGTGTAAAACTGCTAAGTCAACATATTTTTTCTATAATATCAAACAAAAGGAATCTTTCTGATAATTAGATATATAATATGATTGTAATCTGATTCTTGTTTTTTTAATTATAATATTACTACTTTGTTAAGTTTTGGAAAACAGCGTCTTGATTTGGGCTTATAATCAAATTGAAATATATTTCTTTTCAATAATAGTGTCAAAATAAAAAAACTACTAATTGATTAAATATATATTTATTTAAGGTAGTATTAAAACTTTAAATTATTTAAAAAATATAAGCTTTTAATCAGATTCAAATATTCAAAAGATCAAATTTAATTAAAAACCAACCACTAACCAGGCCATCAGAAGTCCAACTAGGAGGATCAAAGGAAAAGGATATCAGGCTGATCATAGTCCGACTGGGCTATCTTGATTAGAAGTTTGGAGAAAAAGCAGGGGTATACTAAAAGTATTAGGAATATGCTGTGAAGTAAGTACTAGGGTCTGGGTGAACTCTGCAAGAGCAAGCCCTGTTAATGTTCTGTAGAGTGGGTAGGTAGTTAACAGGGGGGCTCCTGGAGCCTTATAGTCAGGTATTATGCTCTGAAAATAATTGTGTAATAGCTTGACAGACATACAAAAAGGAGACTAAATGTTGGGTTAGATGGCACTTAGGTGTACAAAAACTAGAGCACAAATTGTCTAGGTGCAGTATAGGAATCAAAGTGTTTAATTAGATAGTCTCCTAGTAGATTATAGGTATGGCAGCTAGTATAGAACCCTTGGGTGGACTACTTAAATAGATAACCAAAAGTTACACATATGGCTAGTTGTATGCTCATCCTGTACAAGTAATATATAATGTATTCACTAAAAACACAATAAAGACATTAGCTGCCATTAACATCAGCCTTAAAACAAAAAAAAACAAAAAAAAAAAAATTTAAAAACCAAATAAGACAATTAATAAATAATATCAAGAATGAAGTGCAATAAAAAGTATTTTAATAGCAAATGAAGTAGTATATCTGATTAGATAATCTATTCTTATGATTTTATCTTGAGATATCTATATTTATACATCATAGTATATAAATAAATAAAAAAATGCAATTGGATGTTGTATTATCTAAGAAGCATAATTTATATAATAAACATATCAATAAATTTTCTTATCTAGTTATTAATTTAAAGATAAAAACTTTATTGTTATTATCTTTAAATTTGTAACATGAGCAAATTATATCTGTTTTTGTTTATAGTATTATAATCTAAAAAAGGATTATTGATATTTCATTTAAATTAGATTGCATAATAAAATAATAATATATAGTAATTATTAGATATAGCATATATATAGAGTATAATTAGTAAATATAGCATAATTAGCATAATTGGTAAATATAGCAAATATAGTATATTTAGTATAATTAGTGTAATTGGCATTTATAGTATAATTAGTATAATTAGTATAATTAGTATATATAGTATAATTAGTATAATTAGTGTATAGAGAAAAAGTATATAAGTAATGTGTTTGTAATATAAGAAAGATAGGTCTCACAATATAGTCAATAAAGATACACTTACTCTTAGTACTTGCCCAAATCCAATGCCTCTTTTAAGTACTATTCCATTTGATATTATATAAGAAACTCTTATTTATCCTATAAATAAAGAGTTTTAGAGTCTATAATTTCTGTATTATAACAATTCTTATCTAGCTAAGTCATGTGCCACATGACACAACTAACCAAATAAGGGTGACCTGACTAGAAAAATCAGAATCATCAGAAAGAACTAAAATGCAGAAAAAGTACTTTCTGATGATTGAAATAAAGTAAGTAATATAGTTAGTAATAAAGAAAACACTAAAGTAGTCATAATTATTATAATCTTAAATAATGTTAGTATAGATCACGAAAATGTATATAGTAAAATATTCTTATAAATAAAGGCCATAAAGGCCCTAAAGAGAGAAAGAGATACTTTGCTTTATTAAAAATAATAATTGATCCTTTACATATTAATAAATATATTAACTAATCACTAAGTCCTCAGATCATAGAAACCTGATTCTTGAATTTATCTATTCTAACCTATAATATTATTACACTCCATCTGGCTGTTGTATTCTAAAGTACCAGGATTAGCTGTAGTTACTCGAGTCCAACTATCTGAAGAAGTGTGATAATTGAGGTTATACGTATAGTCCAATTACCCAAAGTAGTAAGGTAATTGAGAGTTAAAGTTAGTAGACAGCTCAAGCAAAGAAAACCAGACTCATAGTAGAAGGAATACTTACCTATAGATCCAAACTATTGACCAAATCTAAATGCCTCTTTTCGACTAAGCCAACTATAGGTTATATGAAGAATTAGGATTGTGAAGTGACTGACTTGTCATAATGCCCAATTTTACAATAGTTCTATCTTCTATAGATGGGAATGTCTAAAATGTAAATTTTTATAATATATATTTTATTGAATTAGCTTTAGTTATAATCATTATGGATTAGAGATAAAGCAGGTTTAGATTATTATATATAAGCAAAATTGGCTTTTTGACATTTTTCTTAACTTATCCAAGCTAGTTTTAGACTATTATTTTTTGTATTTGTTAAATTTTTTGCCAGATAATAAATTAATAGGCGTACTATTTTTTTTTTTTTAATCATATTAATTTTTTTTTTACATTAAAATTCTATAATTTGATTGGTCAAATATCACATAATTCCATACCACTTTAAACAACCCTCTAGTTTGGGCCAGGCCTAATTTGAAGCAAACCCAGTCATGTTTATACTCTGAAATTTTTTTTTTACTAGGCCAGGCTTGGGTTTAAAAATATTTTTGAGTTTGGGTTTTTTTTAAACAAGTTCAGCCTGGTCTGGCCTATTCTATGCTCTATACTAAGAAATGCAAACCAGCATTAAATGGTACAAACTCTGGATAAGTTCTTGTAATCATATAAATTTAATAAAATTTGATAACAAAAAATTCATTTAAAAAGATCCAAATAAAAAAGTAGTCAGACCTTTAATGATTCTACTATAAAAATTAGCCTAAAAAAACAGATACCAAACTTATAGTACTTAGTTATAGTACTTAGACAAACAAGAACCTCTAGATTAGGAGTCTCAAAAGTATCACTAACTAGACTACCAGAATGAACCAGAAGAAAAGAAAATTGAACTGACCTAATATACTAATAGACTGTTTATAGTCCTACTTAGGCTATCTAGATTATAAGTTTGATAAAAAGATAGGTAAAAAAATAGAAGTATACTAAAATACTAAAATTATATTGTAAAGTAGATATTAGGATCTGTATGAACTCTACAAGAGCATAGCAATTAAATAATATAATTTTGACTACAAGTGTTAGTTCTGTTATAGTAATATCAGATTAGCTATAAAAACAAAGATAAAAGGTTCTAGAAGATTTATCTTAAGAATAAAATAGTTTTAAGATTAAAATGATAATCTGAATATAATCTAATAAAGTTAACACAATTTGTAAATTCAGAAAATTTAAAGTAGAACAACTAAGCAGAAGTATTAGGTATTGCAATTGGTAAAGAACCTTTAAGCAAACTTCTTAAATAGATAATATAGAAAAATTATATATATAACTAATTGTATGTACTTTTATAATAGTTCACTGCGATCCTAGTGTAGTGGTTGGGTTGTCATCCTCTAAGTGGCAGGTCTAAGGTTCAAATCCCATCTACAACAAAATTTGGAAATTATATCTGTATTATGTTAACTGTCTTCTGTCGATCAGTTGGCCTCTCTTGGTCTTTCAAATATGCAAACCTCTCCAATTATCTCTACTAAACGCTTCGAAAAAATCAGCGATACTCTACCTGCATCTCCTATTGTCAAACAACTTTCAACTCAAGCTCCTAATACCACTATTCTTTTCCCTTCATTCAATATCAATCCTACACCAACTGCTATTATTCCTCATTCTCAACATGTTCATACATGTGTTTTATGTAATATCAAAAATCTTCCTTGT